ATAACAAAACAAGAACTCGAAAATACGGATTCTGAGAATGTCACTGTTGAGTTAACGGAACCGTATATGTTAAGTAACAATAAGTATTTTTATGTCTACAATAACAAATTGTGCGTCCGAGAATTTGTTGAGAAAAATTGGGCCAATCATGTGGGTATACTTAATGTATACCCGAGAGGAGAAAATGTAAAAGATTTGCTACGGACTATACAATCAAAAAAATCAACCGTTGAAAGTCCGTTTATTCACACCGATAACATTATGGGTCGTTGGAGTATAAAGTTTTATCCCCAAACTATTATACTCGAAGCAAAAGACGATAAAAAAAAAATCAGAGGTCGCAACATATACATGATAGTTAAAGATCCCCAAAAAGGAAGAGGAGATAAAAGGATAAAAAAGAAAGGTTTATCTTATCAAGAAGATGAATCAAAAAAAGGACCGGCAGAATATGTCAATAGCGTCCAAGTTTTGGAAAATGAGGATCTGCTAATGGTTACAACAATAGGTATATTCATCTGGACTGTTAAGGATATAAAAGTCAAAGATGACTCGGAGAAAATACGATTACACTATTTCTGGAGCTGGAATCACGAAATCGATGAAACGCATTTAATGGAAAGATATTTACCTACGCCAGACTTCAGGTTTATTATTGAGAACATAAAAAAATTCACCAATGGATCGGGGAAGGAATCTCCTTTCTTCGAAGAAATAATTGACGACTACTTTGAGGATCCGTTTAAACTAGACCTTTATGGGAAAAACATGCTTAAGACGTTGTTTACATTGGGGAACAACGAATTAATTGAAAGGCTCATAGACTCTATCATTAAATTAACTGTTGATAATGGCGAAGGAAATTTTGTTTCAAACATTAGATTGCTAAGTCTCATTGCCTGCAATTTTGCTCAATTGTCGAATCAGTACCCTAACATTACGAATCGTGCTTTATCTAAAGTAGCCTTTTTTGTACCTGGAGATGAAAATTCATTCAAAATTGTCAACCATTACTCAACTTCTAGACATCATCAACATCTTGACGCCTACCCCGAAATTTCACCAATTAATATTTTAACGCCGATAAAATACATCTTCAACAATTATTTGTATTTTTATAAGAAATTACGGTTGTTTCTTGCCAGTGTGTTCTATCCCGATGAAGGAAAATTGACCATCAAATTAGTTTTTCCTTTTCCTAATTTTGTCCGCTATCCTGCACAATATAGCACTTATTGGGAATTACTTTTTCCGAATCCTAGTTCCTTTGCCGACTATGACAAACCGCATTTATACAAATGGTGGAACGGCGAAGCACTACTAGATTTTAAGTGGAATAAATACGGGAAAAAATATTATATGTTGATTTGGGCTTTTTACACAATATTTATGGCATCTTTTACGATTTCTGCAACTTTAGAAAGTCAGCTTTCTTGGAATGCGTTGAAAACTCTCCTGATTTCAACAATAGTTACAGGAGTGATTCATCTTCTTTTTGAAATCAGACAATTTGTCTATGATATGAAAAGATATGTTGCCAGTCCTTGGAATTATTTTGGTAATTAAAAGAACTATTTGCAGGTACATCAATGCCTAAACCGTATATGATAGCAAGTATTTATCGTATTTTTCTTTTTCTAGATTTAGGAGCAATCTTATTCTCGATAATAAGCTCCATAATATGGCTTGAATATGGTTCAATTCAAACTTGGCTAGCCACAATTAC